TCCTGTAACCCCAGGAGGTGGGCACCTGAGCAGCCATATTCCTTACCTGAGCACTGCCTCCTGTAACCCCAGGAGGTGGGCACCTGAGCAGCCATGTTCTTCACCTAAACACTGCCTTCTGTAACCCCAGGAGGTGGGCACCTGAGTAGCCATGTTCCTCACCTAAACATTGTCTTCTGTAGTCCCAGAAGGTGGGCACCCTAACCACCCCCATCACACGTGAGCCTGAGGCTCAGAGAAGGTAACTCCCCTAGGGACACATGGCCAGGGAGCCTCAGGCTTGGAGAATGTAACTCCCCTAGTGACACAGAGCCAGGAAAAAGCAACATTGGACCCACCCCAAATCTACGTGGTTCCAGAATCTATGTTGCGTAGCCTCTCACATGCATGTGTGTGTGCACGGCCCTGTACAGTTCCTGGACAGCTCACTGTGTGGTGACACAGGCAGGGAGGTCATCAGCAGTTTTAGTTACCAGAGAGTGACAGCAGTGATTGCTGGGTTCAGGATTTAACTGTTGCATTTTACCTGGTAATGAGACCAAGGCCTGCTTGGTTTAACCTGAGTGCAAGACTCCAGAAGTAGCGCGGGCTCATGGCTGAAGAGGCCAAGCTGGAACTCCTCAAGACTCACTCTGCCATCTCCATCTTGATCTAGTTTGTTAAACAGGTCTTCAAGTTCCTAAACAAAAGCCATCATACCTCAGGCCCAAACACAAGAGCCCCGACCAGCCGCCCTCACTGGGGCCTCCCTCCCCTCCACCTCCTTGTGGTTCCAAGTACCCGACAAGTGCCGTTTTGGTCTTCTTCAGACTTAAAAGCTGTGTAGACCACAAGGTCTGTGTTTTCCCAAGGTGCCCCCTCCCTATATCTTGTGAAACCCACAGGCCTTGTTGGTTTCCATCCCACTGTGAGTGGGCATCACCTGAACTTCCCAGTTCTACAAATCCTTATTCAGTATCTGCCAGGGCTGGAGCCTGGGGGATGCTGAGCAAGGCCAGCCCCTGCAGAGTGAGGTCCAGCAAGGACACAGGGCTGAGAAGAACTCCAGCAAGGTGGGCCGGCCTCCCACCCAGGAGGAGGGAACACAGCCACTGGGGAGTGCGGGCAGGCTCATGGGCCTCCTGTCAGCTGCACCGTGGAACCCGGCCACACAGAGAAGGGGGAAAGGCATCCAGGCAGAGGAAGGATGTGAGTGAAGGAACAAGAAGTACCTGGCACACCTGAGCATGGCAGGGAGTCGGTTAGGCTGGGGAACTCCATCAGAGATGGTCTTTCAAAGGTGTCTGGGAGGCCGGGTGCGGTGGCTCAAGCCTGTAATCCCAGCACTTTGGGAGGCCGAGGCGGGTGGATCACGAGGTCAAGAGATCGAGACCATCCTGGTCAACATGGTGAAACCCCGTCTCTACTAAAAATACAAAAAAATTAGCTGGGCATGGTGGCGCGTGCCTGTAGTCCCAGCTACTCAGGAGGCTGAGGCAGGAGAATTGCCTGAACCCAGGAGGCGGAGGTTGCAGTGAGCCGAGATCGCGCCATTGCACTCCAGCCTGGGTAACAAGAGCGAAGCTCCGTCTCAAAAAAAAAAAAAAAAAAAAATAGTGTCTGGAGTTTTTTGCTTTGACAGAAATGCCAGTTGCCACCAAAAAATTTTAGATTAGAAAGTGATGCACCTAAATGAGTGGCTGCAGGGTAGAGGGCTTTCCAGACCCAATACTAATGACCAGGGCAAGGAAAACATGGCTGGGTGGCCTGCTGTGCCCCTCACCTCTTTCTTGAGTCCCCGAAGCCCGACACTCTGGCAGACCACAGCCAGCTCCTGCTCGCTCAGGTGCCCGCTGCTGCCCACCCCCAGCTCTTCCCACATGCCGCGGATCTGGCCTTCTGGGGTGTCAAAGGAGGGGCTGCAGGACTTCTGGGGGCTCCCAAAGTCCTCGGAATCCCAGGTCTGCAGCTGCCCTGAAGTAAAGGAGAAGTAACAGTTAGATCCTGACACATACGCAATGGAGCACGAATCAGCCTTAGAAAGAAGGACATTCTGCCCTTTGCGACAGCATGGATGAATATGGAGAACATTACACTACGTAAAATTAGCAGACACAGAAAAACAAACACCACGAGCTCTCTCTCATGTGTGGGATCTAAGAAAAGGAGAACTCGCAGAAGCAGGGCGTAGAAGGGTGGTGACAGGGCTGCTGGGTGGTGGGTGAGATGCTGGTGAGGGGGTCACTTTCAGTTGCAAGATGAGTAAGTTCTGGAGCTGTAATGTACAGCATGGTGACTAACAGCTAGTAAGGTCGAATTGCTTCCTTGAAGTTTGCTAAGAGAGTCTATCTCAAGTGTCTCAGCACACACACATAACTAGGTGAGACGGACATGCTAACTGGCTGGATTGTGGTCATTATTTCACAATGTACATGTCTCAGATCATCACACTGTACAACTTAAATACATAACAATTTTTATTTGTCAATCACACCTCAATAAGGCTGGGAGAAAAACCAGCAACAGTTAAGTTTTGTGCTCTAGGCTGAAGCATTTGGGGGAAGCACAGCAACGCTGGTCAGTGACTCTGAAATCAGACGGACCAATGGACAGAGGGATGGATGGACAGACACATGGGAGATGCAAAGCACCAAACGTGGAATTAGGTGGTTGGCACATGGGTGTTCATGCTACAGTTCTTTGCATTTCACTCTGTTAACAAATTTTCAAAATAAATGTTGGGGGAAAATATCTGCCTCTAATGGGAAAATTCTTGCTGAAGACAACCTTCTAAGGTCAGCCATGCAAGCACTTAAAAGAGGCAGAGGGCTCTATTATTTGTGTTTACAATAAAAAAAACCCAGTCTTTTAATAACTTAGTTTTTAGAAACTTTTCTAACTTACACAGAGCAAAGAGTAAAGTGAAGCCCAGAGCCCCGGCTGCTCAGGCTCCACTAGGACAACACCCTATCACAATGGCTTCTTCTCTACCTGCTTTGCTTCTGGCTAAAGTGTTTAGAAGTACAGGTGCTCCTCAACTTATGATGGAGCTACAGCCCGACAACCCCATAGTAAGCTGAACACATTAGCTGACAGTGGGGCAAAATCCTCTAACACAAAGCCTATTTATACTAAAGTGTTCAATGTCTCGTGTAATTTACTGAGCACTGTACTGAAAGTGAAGATCAGAATGGTCGCATGGGTGCTGAAGGATGGCTTTTACTGAATGCACATCGACCTCGCACCATCGCAAAGTTGAAAAATCGTTGAGTCGAAACATCATGAGTTGGGGCCCATCTGAGGTATTTGCAATCACAGATCTCATGTTACTTCTCCCCCTACATATTTAATCCTTATCTCTAGAAAAAAATACATAGATTCTTACATCACCATAATGTCACTAGCACACCTAAGAAAATCAACAGGATTTTCCCAAGTGTCTCAAAAATATCTTGCTACAGTTGATTTGTTTGAACCAGCATCCAAACTCCTCAGGGTGTCCCTGGCTGTTATTCCTCTCACATCTTTCAGCCACAAGCACCTCTTCCAACTCCCCACAGCTCATGCCTTTTTAAAGAAATAAGACCCACTGTTTTGTGGAATGTTCCACATTTGGATCTATCTGCTTGCTTCCTTGTGGTCTGGTCTAATGGGATCCTCCATCCTTAACATTTCCTGAAAACCTGAGTTAGCATCAAAGCCTAATTTGGCTGCAGGCTCAACTCTTTTTTTTTTTGCCATAAATACTTTGCAGCTGTCGCTGTGTCCTCCACGCATCTCACTCAGGAGGCACTGGTGTCTTTAGGACTCATCAGTGGGCTCAGGTGGTGGATGGCCACTTTTGCTAACCTTAGCCTTCAGCCGCTTGTCTTCCTGATGTGTCTGAAGGTGTGGAAACAGCTTGAGAACACAGGCAGACACTGGGTGTCCAGGAGAAAGTGTCTATGGTGAGCTATATGTCCACCCAGACGTGTTCCTATGGTGAGCTATGTGTCCAGCTATGTTCCTCCAGGCCTTGTCCACACCGCCCAGCCCAGAGCAGAGAGATGGCTGCTTCCACCCAGTTCTGCTTCAGCGGTCTGGATCCTTCAGGTAGATGAGCCATGTGGGCATGAATTACTGATTACCCTGCTGGTAACGTGAAAGCCACCATCCCCCAAAGGAAGCCAGACTGTGTGCTCACAAATGACACTGTGAGTTGGGTTGAGGAAAACAAGAGGAAAGGGACAGGCAAGGAAAGGCCACCTCCAAGGTCCCTTCCAGGCTAAGATACCTGAAATCTCCTAGGAAAAATGTGAAAGCAATCCTCATACTGGGGGTTATTTCTCAGGCTGGCAGAAGGGGTCGGGCAAGTCCTCTAAGCCTGACATGAGTGTGTGTGCGCTACTGTCTGTCGGCTCTGACCCCGTGCAAAGGTTTCCGTAAACTGCTGGGAGGAACCCCAACCTGGTCTCCAGGGAGACAGCACTGAAAAGGTGAAGAACAGCCTCCTCCTGTGAGCCCTTCCCTTCACTGCCCTAGATCTAGACATCAAGTTCGAGGATGTAAAACACAGCGGCTTGGCTGACTTTTCTCAGCACACAGGAGTCTGCCTGCTTTGTCCAGCACCACAGCCAGAAGCTCAGGCCCCCTGACATTTACTGAGACAAACGTTGAACAAAAAATGGCCCTGACATTCAAAGACTGTGGTCCACGGGGTGCTAACTGTTTACTTCGGCAGAAATCCCAGGGCAGTGCCCTCTATCCAAACCATGTTTCTGCAGTCAGCCCATGTGATCGCCTGTGTGGGGAGGTCTCATTATGGCATCCATTGACTCACAGGGAAAAGCCTGAAAAGACAGTGAAACTGCTCACAGGACCAAGGAACACAGACCAGTGCTATTCCCTGCCCTGCATGGTCACTGGCCTGTCTGGCCTGCAGCCCAGCCCAGGACAAGGGAATGGTGAGGCACCCTGTCTGTGGTTGGGGTTCCCTGGTACCCCCACAGCACTGACTGGGAGCCACTGACCCTACCCATGCCTCATGAGTGTGATCCAGTGCAGCCTGCAGCCTGATGCCTTCCTGGGGCAGCCTCATGCCTCCTGCCTCCTGCAAGGGGACATCCAACGCCGCCACCCTGGTCCTTCTGCAACAGGGGGAGCCAGGGGTTGCTGGTCTGAAGAGGGCTCTCAGTATTCAGTCTGGCTCCAGCCTCTCCTCCCAGTTACCCGCAGCTGTGCACTCCAAAGCACTAACTCTTCTCATCACTGCCTTCTCAAAGCCCACAGCAGCCTCCTGCACTCTCCTATACCTGCACCTCACATGCCTGGCTGCTAAGGACCCAGCAGTTTGCTCCCTACACGTTCATATAATGCCTCCGGCCTTCCTGTTTCCTATAGCACACGACACCCCCACCCCCCGGTTCTAACTTCTCCCCTCTTTGCCTTCCCTCCTCCTTTCAGCCTGTCCATGTGAGGAAGTTTGGAAAAATGGCTTCAAACTTGACACTCTTCCCTTCAGTTCTGTGTCCCTTCTCCTTGAATCTGGTAGCCTTGTGACAGCTCTGATCAATAGAACGTGGTAGAAGGGATGCTCTGTGACTTTCAGGCTGACCTGAACTCAATGAGGAAATCTCAGCCCTGTTTTTGGGACCATGTGTCCTCAGGGCCCCAAGCCACTAGGTGAGACAGTTGACTACCCTGAGCCCCCATGCTATAAGGAAGCTCGGCCATGCCAAGGCCTGCTGCAACTCCTCTGAGGCTGTCCTCAGGCTGAGTTCCTCCGCCCAGACGCATAAGTGACGCTTCATGTGATTTCAGACCCAGGCTTCAAGTGTCCCAACAGAGGCCCCGTCTGTGATGGAGTCTATCCTAAGTCTCTCACCTTCTCCAATCCTTTTTTGAGCACTGCAGCCCTGCTCCTCAGAGAAGCTCTGCAGCAGCTATGTAAAAGCTTGTGCTGTGTTCATAAGGGCCTGGTGTGAACCTCAGTTCTTGTTCCCAAGCTCAGCAAGACCTCGCCCGAGCCCCAAGCTGCTTTGAGGAAGGATGCTCAGATTATGCCACGCCTGCTGTAAGGGTTAGCCAGGCCCCCAGCGTCACACCTGGTAGCTCCTCAGAGCCCGGCGTCTGGTTGCCATGCTGATCCTCTCATGCCCACCTCCCTGTGGGGCTCCTTTCCGCACTCTCGCAGGCATCATGTAAGTCAGAAGTTACTTTTACGGAGTCTTCTGTTTTGCATTGTTTGCATAGGTATTGGTCTTTTCTACCCAAAACATTCTAGGATTCATAATGTTTCTGTTTGCTTTTAAATGTCAAGGAAGTATTACAGGCAAAGACAAGATAATTAAAATGAAAAAGGCTTCTCCCCCAAAGCCTTTATTCCTCTCCCTAGAAGAATCCCCTGGGAAGTTTACTGCCTAGCTTTCTGCCCCTATGACACATGTAATGCATGTCACTCCAGAAAGGTGGTGAGGGAGCTGAAGTCTTGATCATGCCCTTGTATGTAACTTCATAGGACCCAGATCTTGCAGAGGGCACCACAACGGCACAGACAGTCAGCCCTCCTTGGGCGCTGCACAGCGCTGTGAGGCTGCGTGCTGTGATTTGCTTGTGACCAGCTGCTCGCCAAGGCTCTGAGCTCCAGGACCAGATCTTATACTCCATCTGCAGAACAGATGAGACCCTGGTGGGTGCTGAGGCTGCCCCTGCACAGCAGGGGAGAGGCTGCATCCAGCCCAGCATGCCAGGAAGGAGGTGCAAGGGCAGCTTAAGTGACGGGGCCAAGCAAGGTCCTGCCTGAAACCACAGAGCCACACCTGCCAGCCGGGATCACATCGGTACTTGCAGATCATGAAGTGTGATTAACCACAAGCTCCCTCGGCCACAGGCCTCTGCCCTGGGGTCTTACCTTGGGAGGATGAAGACCGAGTGACAGCCTCACTGCTATGATGATGACATTCTGATCACTTCTGGAGAAGGAGGAATCCAGTGGGACACCACCCACCCCACATATTGCCCAAGAAATTACATTTGTTGCTGTGCAATGCCCAGTGGCCTGGCTCTTCAGCTTTCAAAGCTCTGGGCAAAGGCAGAGAGCACCGAACGCGAGCCTGCGGCTTTACCTTGTGCTTCAAATAATTCATTCTGAGCTTCTTTAGCGCTCTCGGCCTCTTCATCTGACTTGAGACTCTGTAGAAAGATGCAGAGAGAAGGCTGTGAGTTCTAGCGGGTGCTGCTGGGGACAGAGCAGTAGGAAAAAACAGAGCAGGATATTTGGCGAAGGGGGGTACGGCTGAGGATGGAATCAACCCATCAGAGTTTTGAAAAGCCCACCCCTGCCTTGGGGCCGCCCTGCATGCCAGCTGGAAGCCCTAGGTGAGCCCTGTGTGGGGTGGGCCCTGCCAAGCAGCAGTGAGGGGCTGGGCTGGAGAGAGAGGGGACACACCTTGGTTCCACACACTTGGGGCGTCTCAACATAAACCCAGTTATCAGCAGTTGACACTGAAAATACAATCAAACACTCGTGTCCTAGCAGCAGAGAAGCTTGCCCCCTCCACATGGTGATAGCTTCAGAGGCAGCACTTGAAAGAAGACCGCCCTGCAGCCAATCGTTCAGTCTCAGAACACACTCTCCATACAAGACTTGAAACACGACCGCCTCTCTGCACCCCTCCCTCGTCATCCACATCAGTTTAGCAAACAGTTGCAAGGTGAGAGCAGGTTTCTGTGTCCCTCCAAGGGCTCTGGGATAGCACAGCACCTGGTAATCACCTCACACCCCAGCAGCCTTTGCAAACCTGCACCCAAGACAGGAGTGGGGGCCATCAAGAAACACATGACTTAGTAAAAACCTCGTGCTGCAGTGACTACATCAGCCAACTGGAATCAAAAGTCTGCTTTTGTCCAGGTGTTGTGTATCCCCACAACTGACTGTGGAATGGACGCCGGTGACCAAGATTCCATATGCTTCAAAGCTGGCACTGGCTCTGATGGGGGAGAATCTGCAAGCAGGTGATAAATATTCAACCCCATTTTCTAATGCATTCAACTCCACTGACAACCCTAAAGGCAGCTTTCCCCATGTTCAGGTTTTGTGAATCAAAGATGATTTAAGAAGCAGAATGGCACCAGCAAAGATGCACCACAAGGAGTAGATTCATTATCACTCCATCCCTGAGGTCCAAATTTTTTAAAAAAAGAACAAAAAAGGAGTTGGGTGCAGTGGCTCACGCCTATAATTCTATCACTTTGGGAGGATGAGGCAGACAGATCATAAGGTCAGGAGATTGAGACCAGCCTGCCCAACAGAGAGAGATTCTGTCTCAAAACAACAACAACAAAAAAGAACAAAAAAGGAATGTTCTGGATTTATAGGCATTGCCTAGGTGTCACATGCCCCTGAGAAAAGAGACTCTAAGATTTAAATATATTTTGGTTGTTTTTCCTCTTTGCCTCCACAAATGTTGAAAACAAATGGTAAACAAGTCCACCTGGAGCCCCTGAGCTGTCTAAGAAAGATGTGCTCCTGATCAAGCCCCACCTGGCAGAAGCTGACAGCACAGAGCACAGGAACCAGGAACCTTCTGGAATCCTTGAAAATGGTTTGACCTAGTTCATGATTAACTCACAAGCTGTGGACCTGCCCCATGGACATATTTCTTAACATGAAGCCCCACGAGACTCTGGCAGCCATCTCCTGGGTAACCCTTGTATCCTAGGCACTTGCAGCAAATGACTCAGGGAGCCTGGGGGACAGAGTGGCAACTCCCAAGGCCCCAGGATGCATTGGCTCATACAGGTCAGTTCTAAGTGCTGGGCCTCAATATATCTACGTGTTTAAGATGGGTGGGACTGCGGTCTGACACACCCACACTCCTGACCTCAAGGCTGTTTCAAAAAGGCATCTTCCCTTTTCTACTCTTAGCGCATTGACCCTTCACTCCTGTGAAGCCATAAACATTGCTAGTGGTGATATCAGGGGAAAAGAGAAACAAAGGATTTATGCACAAATTCTCTATTGCACCAACCCAGAAGGAGAGAATCCTGTTGTCCTAAAGACAACCAGACCCAATTTAAATGAAATGGCATTCCCCAAAGTGACCAAGCTTCTGGTGATTCAGGGTGCCTGGGAGTGCCGCTGCCCTCCCCATATCTCATGATCATGTGCTATGAACAAGGATGAAGGGAAGCATTTGTTCTTCCCAACACTTGGCAGCTGGGGTGGGAGAGGGGCCTGACCCACCTCCACACTTTCCAGAGACGCTGAGCGCCGGAGCTGACTTTTCAGGCTGGCCTGGGTTTGCTTCTCGGGCACGTGTCTGGCTTCTGTGGCAGCGTCACACAGCTCGGGCCGGCTTCGACGGCCGTACCACTTAGAGCCACTCACATACTTTGGTGGGATGGCACAGGAGGCAGCTGGGAAAAAAATAGGAAATTTGGTGGGGGTCCTTTATAGCAGTTCCTGGCCCATGCAGGCCAGCAGGTGCCCTCTGAAAAGGTGCACACTCGGCACCGAGCGTGCCTCCCAGACAGGCACTGCTCTGCACACAGAAGCATCTGGAAAGACACAAGCAACAGTGAACAATGACAATCCTATGACCTTGAAAGGGAGATTGAGAAAGCGAGTGTGGGGACAGGAGGACTTTCCCCTAAACTCTACAGGCTATTTTAACTTTTTCAAGCATATTTTGCTTTTATGTAATTAAAGACTAAAAAAAACCTAGCTATCCATGCAAAGGAACAATAAAACCTCCAATAATCCAAGAACGTATAGCTGATGAACACCTGACTCTCAGTGTCCTGAGTGAACATGCTAAATGTAAGGTGACATTCCAGGCAGCTGACAACAATGCAAGGTGACCAGATAATCTCTCATCCCACTGGCACAGTCATCACGGGCCTTATTAACAATCACTCCACGACGGCGGGCACAATCAAGGAGTGGTCCAGCACACTATCACAAGAAGGGTCAGAGCTTATGGGAAGTTAATATGGTTTGTGTCCCCACCCAAATCTCATGTCAAATTGTGATCTTCAATGTTGGAGGAGGGGCCTGGTGGGAGGTGATGGGATCATGGGGGTGGATTTCTCAATTGCTGTTCTCAAGACAGTGAGTTCTCATGAGATCTGGTTGTTTAAAAGCGTGTAGCCCCTCCTCCTGCTCTCTTCCTCCTTCTCCAGTCATGTAAGACATGCCTGCTGGCCCTTCGTCTTCTGCCATGATTGTGAGTTTCGTGAGGCATCCCCCGTCATGCCTCCTGTACAGCCTGAGGAACTGTGAGTCAATTAAACCTCTTTTTAAAAAATAAATTACCCAGTCTCAGGTTGTTCCTTATAGCACTGCAAGAACAGACTAATATAGAAAATTGGCACCAGGAATGGAGTACTGCTATAAAGACACATGAAAATGTGGAAGCAGCTTTGGAGTTGGATAACTAACTGGCAGAGGTTGGAACAGTTTGGAGGGCTCTGAAGAAGACAGATGTGGGAAAATTTGTAACCTAGAGACTTGTTAAATTGGTGTGACCAAATGCTAATGGTGATATGGACAATGAACTCCAGACTGTGGTGGTCTCAGATGAAGATGAGGAATATACTGGGAACTGCAAAGAGGTCACTCTTGCTATGCTTTAGCAAAAAGACTGGTGGCATTTTGCCCCTGCCCTAGAGATACGTGAAATTATGAACTTGAGAGAAATGATTTAGAGTATCTAATGGAAGAAATTTCTCAGCAGCAAGGCATTCAAGATATGTCCTGGCTGCTTCTAACATATGCTTCTATTCATGAGCAAAGAGATGATGTGAAACTGAAACTTGTATTTAAAAGGGAAGCAAAGTGTGAAAGTTTGGAAAATTTACAGCCTGACCATGTGGTAGAAAACAAAAATCCATTTTCAGGGGAGGAAGGAACTCAAACCAGCTGAAGAAATTTGTAAAAGTAAGGAGAAGCCAAACGTTAATATCTAAGACAACTGATGGGAGGGGCTTCATGACAGCCCCTCCCATCACAAGCTCTGAGGCTGAGGAGGGAAGAATTGTCTCATGGGCTGGGCATGAGGCTCCACCTTAGGACACTGTTCCCTACATCCCAAGTGTTACAGCTCCAGCCATGGCTAAAAGGGGCCAAAAACATCTCAGGCTGCTATTCCAGGGGGTGTAAGCCACAAGCTTTGGTTGTTTCCATGTGGCATTAAGCCTGCAGATAGATGGAGGGCAAGAGTTGAGGCTTGGGAGCTACCATCTAGATTTCAGAGGATGTATGAAAACACCTGATGTCCAGCAGAAGTCTGTTGCATGGGTGGAGCCCTCATGGAGAACCTCTATCAGGGCAGTGCAGAAGGAAAATGTGGGGTTGGAACCCACAAAGAGTCCCCACTGGGCACTGCCTAGTGGAGCTGTGAGAAGAGGGTCACCATCCTCCAGACTCTAGAATGGTAGATCCACTGACAGTTTACACTGTGCACCTGGAAAAGCCATAGGCACTCAACACCACCCCATGAAAGCAACCACAGGGCCTGTACCCTGCAGAGACACAGGTTGGGAACCCACCCCTTGCATCAGTGTGGCCTGGATGTGAGACATAGTGTCAAAGGAGATTATTTCAGACCTTTAAGATGCAGTGACTGCCCTGCTGGGTTTTGGACTTGCATGAGGCCTGTAGACCCTTTGTTTTGGCCAATTTCTCCCTTTTGGAAGAGAAGTATTTAACCAATGCCTGTATCCCCATTGTATCTTGGAAGTATCTATCTCATTTTTTATTTTACAGGCTCATAGGCAGAAGGAACTTGCCTTGTCTCAGATGAGACTTTAGACTTGGACTTTTGAGTTAATGCTAGTATGAGTTAAGGCTGGGAGACTTTTGAGAAGGCATGATTATATTTTGAAATGTGATAAGGACATGCATGAGATTTGGGAGGGGCCAGGGTGGAATGATATGGTTTGGCTATGTGTCCCCACCCAAATCTCATGTTTAATTGTAATTCCCTGCCTCAACTCTTTAAATGTTGGAGGAAGGGCCTGGTGGCCAGTGATTTGATCATGAGGTAGACGTGAGTTCTCATGAGATCTGGTTGTTTGAAGGTGTGTAGCACCTCTCTCTTCACTCTATTCCTCCTGCTCTGCTAGATGAAGACATGCCTGCTTCCCCTTGCCTTCCACCATGATTGTTCCTGAGGCCTCTGCAGCCATTCTTTCTGTACAGCCTGTATAACTGTGAGTCAATTAAACCTCTTTTTTTCATAAATTACACAGTCTCAGGTAGTTCCTTATAGCAACTGAGAATGAACTAATACCAAAGTATTAATAGGGAATAGGACCATTTAGTTGAGGAAAGCTTTTAATTTCTAATTGGAAAAGAAAGAAAAAGCAAAACAAAATTGAAACAGGTGAAAAAAAGCACAAGTTCTAAAAAACAGCTTGGTGTTTCTTTGGAAGTACTGTCACCATGACCCACAGGTTCAGACAGTTTTAAGCTTAGATGCAGCCACCTTCCGTGTTCCAGCACAGATGGGAAAACACAAGATCAGGGGACCAGGCTGTCACCTCTTCAGGGTGCTTTGATATCTTTGATCATCCTCCAAGGTCCTGTGCCTTAGGGATAGTATGGAGTAGGGAGCCCTTTGACATCTTAAAGAAGGAAAGAGTGAATTGGAGCAACTCACACTTCACCCAGGTCATGCACATGGCTGGTGGCAGGGGCTATGAACCCAGGGCTTCTCTTCCCACCCCAAGGCTCCTTAGCAGCACCTCTGCAACCAGCAAGAGGAAGTGGGAAGGGGCAACCACCAGCACACAGCAGAAAGAGCAGGGTCCAGCAACAATGCCCATACAAGGGCCTTGGTCTTCAAGCTGGAAAACCAGGACTCAAATCCTGGTCACTGCTTATTAACTGTGGAATGGTGAATGAATCTTCACCTGGGGCCTCAGTTTCCTCATCCGAATAACAGGTATTTTAAGGAATGCCATAGGATTTCTATGAGGGTTAAATGGACTCTCTGTAAATGTACACAAAGTTCAATGCCATGTGCTCACTCAGAAGACCATTATGTGAGCCTGGTCCCTTGTGCCTTACCATCCTCTGCCCCCAGCCCCATGACTTATCTACTACACCCCTCCTGACCAGGACACCCTGCTGTGAGACATGAGGGAGTGCTCCCTCCGTGACACGCTAATCAATACCACAAACATGACACTCCTCCAAGAGGGAAAGGGCCACCCCCATTTCATACCCTCCTGACATGGGGCCATCTGCAACCAAGAAGCAGGCTGCCACCACCTCACCACTCCACGCCTGGGTAGCCCTCCCTCCAACCTTGCCCACCTGTTACCATCCTAGCACTTGAGGCTGGAACCAAGGCCAGGTGGCTTTCCCCAAGGACGACACTTCCATTTAGGGACACAGCCTGTGTCCCAGCAGCCCTGTCCCTATAACAGGATTCTGATCAGTCACATTAGCACAACGCAGTGTCATCATTCATGGCAGGCACAGCATTTGTTATTATATGACACAAATAAACAAAGGAAGAAAAAACACCAAGTGTTTTCTTCAAGTCCATATAGTTTAGAGGTGACAGAAAGTAAGGTATAGTTTTCAGAATTGCTGGATTCTTTACACTCTAAAAGTAAACAAACTAAGAAAAGAAACTACAGTCAATAGGAAATCCTTTTACCTGATTCCAGAGAACTACTGTCTTCATCTGAGGGGCGAACACCAGCATTTGATGACAACACAGACACAAAACCTTCCTTAAATTCCTCAAAGTTAACCTGGGTGAATTAAAGGTGAGAGAGGACAATGTCACTTTCAACAGATCACACATTTCATGAGAGCGAATCTTTTGAATTTTCTTTTCTTTTTCTTTCTTTTTTTTTTTTTTTTTTTTTTCTTTCTTTTCTTTTTCTTTCTTTTTTTTTTTTTTTTTTTTTTTGAAAGAAAGAAAGAGAAAGGGGGAGAGAGAACAGGAGTCTTGCTCTATTGCCCAGGCTGGAATGCAATCTAAAAATAGGTATTAAAAACCTCTTTTATGCCAATAATTGTGCTTAACAGTGGAGACAGGAAAGGAATAAGGGAAGAAAATAACAAACAAACAGCCAACCAATCTTTCATTTAAGTCTGTGAAATGCTATGAAAATGTGAAGAGTGATTTACTTCCAATTATGTGGTCACTTTCAAAATAGGTGTTATATGATACTGAGAAAAATGTATGTTCTGTGGACCTGAGGTGAAGAATTCTATAAATATTCACTGAGTTTACTTGTTCCAGGTCTGAGTTCAAATCATACATGTCCCTGTTGATTTTCTATCTCATTGATCCATTGAATATTAACAATGTGGTGTCAAAGTCTCCCACTATTATTGTCCGGGAGTCCAATTCTCTTTACAAGTCATTAAGAACTTGTCTTATGTATCTGGGTGTTCCTATATCGGGTGTATATATATTTATGATCATTGACTCCTGTTGCATTGATCCTTTTACCATTATGTAATGTCCTTCTTTGTTTCTTTTAGTCTTTGTTACTATTAAAGTCTATTTTGTCAGAGACAAAAAAGTTACAACTCCTGTTTTCTTTCTTTCTTTTTTTTTTTTTTTGCTCTCCATTTGATTGGGAAGTCTTCCACCAACCTTTTGTTTTGAGTCTTTGTGTGTCCTTGCTTACAAGATGGATCTGGATACAGTGAACTGATGGGTTTTGACTTTTTTTTTTTTTCCTTTTAGTTGCATTTATTTTAAGGCTGAATTTACTCCTGCGCCATAAGTTTTTGTTTCTTCAGCTTCTTCTGGGAAATCTTCTTCTTCTGGGCAACCTCCTCTTCTGATTTAGGAACAATCTGTTCCTTTTCAGTAAGGATCATCTAAACGTGGCAGGGAGAACTCATGTATGGATTAATTCGACCGTGAGCTCTGTAGGTCTGGCGGCGCATCTTGGGTGCTTTGTTCACTTGGATATGCTCAATGACCACAGAATCTACATCTAAACCCTTAAGTTCAGCATTACTCTCTGCATTTTTAAGCATGTGCAGCAAAAATTCAGCACTCTTTTTGGGCCACTGACCTTGTGTCCAGCCCCACTGCTTGGCCTGGGCACGCCTGCCAACTCCACCATTGTAACGTCGGAATGGTACGCACTGTTTCTGTAAAGTGACATCTTTCAGATACTTCGTGGCTTTTCGTAGATGCATACCCTTGATGGCCTAGGCAGTTTCACGTGTGTTCTTAAAGTGAACACGAAGATTGGAACCTCTTGATTTGCATGATTTTGTGGGGTTCTCCAGATCAAGTGAATAGCGAACCATTTTCACAGATTACCTTAGGCCACTTAGGGAAAGAGGAGGCAGGTTTTGACTTTTTATTCAATTTGCCTGTCTGTGTCTTTGATTGGGGCATTTAATCCATTTCAATTTAGGATTAATATTGATAGTTGTGAGTTTAATATTGTCATTTAATGCTAGCTGGCTATTTTGCCCATTAGTTGATATAGATTCTTCATTATGGAGATACTCTTTACCTTTTGGTAAGTTTTTGGGATGACTGATACTGGTTGTTCCTTTCTGTGTATAGTGCTTCTTTCAGAAGCTCTTGTAAAGCAGGCCTGGTGGTGATGAAATCTCAGAGTGCTTGCTTGTTCTTGAAAATTTTTATTTTTCCTTCATTTGTGAAGCTTAATTTGGCTGGATATGAGATTCTGGGTTGAAAATTCTTTTCTTTGAGGATATTGAATATTGACCCCCCACTCTCTTCTAGTTTGTAGGGTTTCAGCTGAGAGATCTGCTGTGAGTCTGATAGGCTTCCCTTTATGGGTAACCTGACCTTTCTCTCTAGCTGCCCTTAGAATTTTCTCCTTTACTTCAACCCTGGTGAATCTAACGATTATGTGTCTTGGGGTTGCTCTACTTGAGGAATATCTTTGTGGTGTTCTCTGTATTACCTGAAGTTGAGTATTTTCCTCCCTTACTAGGTTAGGAAAGTTTTCGGGAATAATATACTGAAGAATATTTTCCAGCTTGGATTCATTCTCTTCATGACATTCAGGTACACCTAACAAAAGTAAATTAGGTCTTTTCACATAGTCCCATATTTCTTGGAGACTTTGCTTATTCCTTTTTACTCTTTCTTCTCTAAGCTTGTTTTCTTGTTTCATTTCATTAAGTTGGTCTTCGACCTCTCACATCCTTTCTTCCGCTTGATCAATTCGACTGTTAAAACCTGTGCATACTTTGCGGAGTTCTCGTATTGTATTCTTCAGTTCCATTAATTCACTTATATTCCTCTCTAGATCATCTATTCTCGTTAGGATTTCGTCAAACCTTTTTTCAAGGTTCTTAGTTTCTTTACATTGGGCTAGAACATGTTCTTTTAACTCACAGAAGTTTCTTATTATTCACCTTCTGAAGCCTGCTTCTGTTAATGGAACACACTTGTTCTCCATCAGGCCTTGTTCCCTTGTTGATGAGGAACTGTGATCCCCTGCAGAGGGAGAGGCATTCTGATTTTGGGTATTCTCAGCCTTTTTAGACTGGTTTCTTCCCATCATTGTAAATTTATCCACTTGTTGTCTTTGTAATTACCGACTTTCAAATTAGGTCTCTGAGTGGACATCCAACTTGTTGATTCCCAGCGCCGGAATCTGAGCAACCCATTGCACTGGCCAAAACAGCGGATTCGTGGTGCTTTTCTGCCCGGGAATCTCCGGTCTGGCTTCCTTCTTGAGTCCCTTTTTCAATCAGCTGAATAGGCAACTCTGCCTTCCTGGAGCTCCAAACGTCGACCAAAAGGGGACCCAGTCCCGTTTACTTTGCACCAAGAACCGCCACGCCGGGGCTCCGGCAAAACTGTCGTACCAGCCACAAGAGTCGCGCTGGCAACCCGTGGGTCTCCTCCGCTGGGAATCTCCTGGTCCGTGAGCAACAAAAATTCATCTGAAAGTGTGGCGTCCTCTCGTTCTCTGCGCTTTCACTGGGAGTTACAATCCTGAGCTGCTAGTGATCTGCCATTTTGAATCTCTCCCTGGATTTTCTTTCAGATAGAAATGCATTATTATTGCCTTTTAAAATGAGAACCTTCATGTTTTCAAATATTTACACTTAAGATTTTTAAGCCAGGCGCGGTGGCTCAAGCCTGTAATCCCAGCACTTCGGGAGGCCGAGGCGGGTGGATCATGAGGTCAAGAGATCGAGACCATCCTGGTCAACATGGTGAAACCCCGTCTCTACTAAAAATACAAAAACATTAG